TTGAATCATTTCCTGCTTTCTTACTGCTTTTAGTTAAAATCACAATCACTCGACTTAGTTTGCTTGATAATAGATAACCACGGAGTAGGCAGTAGATCTAGACCCCGGGTTGACAAATAGAGCTTGCCACTTACTGCATTTCCGGACTGCGATTACACTTGCTCGCAGTTTGGTGTTGTGTTTTAGCATGTCAACTGTCCTAAAGTTCTTGGCGTTATGGTGTCTTGAAGGCGCTGAGAAGGTGATTGGTTAGGCTTTAAGCCATCACCTTATGCATAATACTTAGGTTGAATATGATACGATGCTCATTCTGTCTAGTTAAAGGTAATTCTTTGTTTAATACCTCTGAATTGTCTATCATGGAGCTTTAGTTATTGAATTATTGAACGATACAAATGGAATACTTGGTTACTAGCAGTGTCTACTATGGTAACGAAATCTTGCATGCATTACAGAATGAATCTTAAAGCTTGAAGAAGTCTCTCGAGGTGATTACGATGATGATTCTAGTCAAATTAATATTGCTTGGCTTACCAATCTTGAAAAGGATGAATTTAAGTGATGTGGTTTTTTGTACTTCTCAAATTTAACTTCTTGAGTCGTATTTTTTGGTCCATAATCAGGATGTCGTGACAGAAAATGAGTTTGAGAAAAGACTCATGGCTGATGTTATTCCACCTAATGATACTGAGATTACAATTGATGATATTTGAGCTCGATCTTAAGAATGTCATGGATACATTGAAACAGTTGGTGATGCTTCCATTACAATGACTTGAGCTTTTCTGCAAGGGGTAATTAACTAAAGTTTCCTTTCTTTTTCATACTCCAGTAAGCTGCCTAATGTAATTTGAGAGTTTTTTTCCTTACAGAAAATCTTAAAGAGGTTGTTAATTAATACATTTTTATAGGCAAGTTAACAATCTATGTTTGTTACTGATTGTTTTATTATGCAACCTTGCACGGTAATAGTTCTATTTGGACCACCTGGGACTAGTAAGACAATTCTTGCAAAGACCATGGCAACTGAAGTTGGTGCAAACTTCATGATTATTTCAATGTCGAGCATCACTTCTAAGGTTAACTCTACGACTGGACTATATATTCTGGTTCTCTTTTTTTCAAATGCATTCATTAATCATATTTTCCTCATTTATGTTTGCAGTGGTTTAGCGAGGGTGAAAAATATGTGAAAACTGTTTTCTCTGGCCAACATAATTGCTATAGTGTTTTCTTTGTAGACGATGCAAGTTTCACTTACAATTCCGCAAGTGGAATTTTGAGTTTGTCGTGTGTGGTCATTAGTTGAATAATAAGCATGTTGGATGACCACTATGAACCCTTTTCTTTTCTTTTGCTGTATATAGGTTGATAGTATGTTGGGAAGGAGAGAGAACCCAGGGGGAGCATGAGGCTATGCTGAAGATGAAGAATGAATTCATGGTGAACTTGGATGGCTTATGAACCAAAGACACTGAGCGAATTTTGGTACAAGCAACTACAAATAGAACTTTTGACATTGACGAGGCTGCCATTAGAAGGTTGTCCCTAAGGTAAAAATTAATACCCATTCAAGTGAGACAAGATCACTCATGTGTTGATGAGGTTTCTGAATGAAGTCTTTTCTGTCTATGGCATCTGCTGCTTTCCCAAATTGATGGTAAATCTTTGTGATGCTCCAAATAGAGCCAAGATACTGAAAGTCATTCTGGCCAAAGAGGATTTGTCTCGTACTGTCGATATTGATGTAGTTGCAAGCATGAATCTTGGATATTTGGAAGTGACCTTAAGGTGTTTTAGCTTTTCAATGGATAATTGTTCAGGGATCAAATTATCTTCCTCTCTTACCATCTTGTCCTTCAGGATATATGTCGTCTTTATTTCTCTTTTGTAGAGCATGTGTGTGGCTGCTACTCTCCACCCAATCAAAGAGATCTAGAGAAGGAAAAAAGGTATTGTGCATAGTTTCTGCATTTGCTTAGCTATATTCCTTTATGTAGGTTTCCTTGAGATTGACATTTAATTATTTCTATATCATCTAGGAAGTGCTCAAATAGTCTGTAAATAGGTTCAAAGTACTATAAATTATTGGGCTTCGTAGGTCTTCAACTTAGTTCCCATAAGTGATTTTTTAGGCATAAGCTATTGATTCAATTCTCTATGGTCCAATGGTTAGTTTCATTTTAATAAACTATAGGAACACATAGCAGCTATGGCAGAAGGTAATCCTCCACCAGCATTAAGTGGAAGTTCATACATACGCTCTCTCAATACGGTGAACTTTAAATATGCTTGTGAAAGGGTCTGCTCAAGTGTGTCTTCAGAGTCGGTGAACATGACAGAGCTTCTATAGTGGAATGAACTATATGGAGAAGGTGGGTCTTGAAGAAAGAAGTCCCTTAGCTACTTCATGTAAATTTATTGTACAATCGCCCAATCTCTCAACCTTGCCCTCTTCTCTTTTAGTTTATATAATTTTCCCTTCAAGCTTCTATAGCAGCCATGGTATGGTCCTTTGTTTTTGTTCAGCTCTCGGATTAGTCATTTTCTTGTTACATTAATAATCAATCTATAGGTCTCATCTGTGGCCTTTTTTAACTAAAAGATATACATTAGTTTTCTCTGTACATGCATGGTGGAAGGAAAACGGAAGGGTTGGGTTTTGTGAAGATAAGGTCTAGGGATTTACAAGTATTTTTTGTTTTTTATACTATTTTCTTCCTCAACCAATCTTCATATTCATCTCCCTCTCCACCAGTAGCTACTCCACCCGATTTTGAGTTTTGGAGAATGTAAGTCGATGTGTGTTGATCTCATAGTGGAATAATGAGAATTCCTTGGAAGACGACACCCCAGTCCTATTGAGTATGTGTTGTATCATTTTGTTGTCACTATCGACATTGTCACGTTGACTTGTGGTTATTTATTCATCATCTGTTCGTTTTGTCTTCTACAACTCTTGAAGGAGCCATGCTTATTTTGTCCCTAACGTGATTGACTTACTATTGAGGCTGTTGGTGCCAATGCTCTTATTTGTTCGTGCAGTTTAAATCAGGATAAAGAGTAGAGTGAGGGCAAAATAGAAAGTTAGAAGTTATAATCCAGTCAAATTTTTGATTTCAAATTGAAGACTATAAATGAACTATAGGCAGCTATACATGAATGCAGTTATGTTAAAGGAAGCTAGTCAGTGGTTACGAAAAAATGACATAGAAGTCAACCAAGGAAACAAGCAATGACAAGATTATTGAAATGAAAAGGATTCAAACATCATCAAGAAAGACAAATAAAGGAAACGACATACTTATTTTGTTTGATACGTGCACCATCTTAATGAGGCAGGAATCCATCTTTGACGATTTACCGTAGGTAGAAGAATATAAAAGGCACAATCTTGGTTGCAATGCCTAAGCAAGATGATGGGTTTGGCTTAAAGGAGTTGGGTAATTGGAATGTAGCATGTGCAACTCGATTTTTCTCGATTTGGATGATGAGAGCAGGATTATTTTAGGTAGATGAGGTCATCAAGACCAAGGCCACTACACTAGAAGAGGGTTCTCTTACACATTGATTCGGGCCTAATTGTACATGTTTTACCCCCATTTTCCTTAGGCGTTTGTGGCAATTTCGCTCCTAAAATGGTGGTTTTATGCTAGGTTTCTCGTGTTTTAGTGTGTTTCAGGATTTAACAGGTGAAACCAGCCCCAGAGTCGAAAGTTGGACGAAAAGGAGCAAAAACTGAGAGAAGAGGTGAAAAACGGCCAGTTCACGGTTTTCCTTGGATGTTCACGGTCTTGTATGACCGTGAAGAAGAGCCATTGGTCGTGAATGTTGAGGCGTCCAAGTCCAAAATGCAAGTTACTGACGCTAATTGAGTTCACGATCTCTAAAACCGTGAATAGGAGTTGTTGGCCGTGAACCCGTGGAAGCAAAGCGGTGCGTCTCGGTGCCCATCTTCAGTTCACGGACGGGTTTCAGAGTTCACGGCTGTGAACTAAGGCCGTGAACTGAGCTTGTTCACTGTTTAAAAGAAGAGCTGAAAGGAAGAGAGAGGGGAGAGCCCATTGTGTGAGAAAGCCTTCTTCAGATTTTTAGAGAGAGAAAGACGAACCAAAGGAGAAGGCGACTAGGGTTTCGCTCCAAGGTGGGATTTTGGAAGATTCTCCCCAAGAGAAGTTCAGCACAAGGGTCTAGAAGATTGGAAGCCTCCCTTAAGATGGTTTCTACCTCTTCTTCTTGTGTTTCTCTCATTTCTAGCATGGAGTAGATTTCTTTTCACTTGGGTGTTGTGAAACCCTAACTAGCTACCATGTAGTTTCTTTTATGTGAATTGAATGATTGTCATTGGGTATTGTTTAATTCAATGATTGAGGTATTATTCATGTGATTGTGCATGCTTGTGCTTAGCAGTCTAAGGATTGTGCATGTTTTGTGCTTAGCATCCTTAGGTTTGTGCATGTTGGTGCTTAGCAACCTAAGGATTGTGCATAATTGTGCTTAGCATCCTTAGGTTTGTGCATGTTGGTTCTTAGCAATCTAATTAGCCACTTTAACCCAGATTAGAGAGGAAAATCCCCCTTCCAAGGGAGACTCAATCGAGTTGGTTTTCCTATAGCTTTTCAAGTCACCTAATTAAGCAAATTGGTCAATGTTGAATTAAGCAAATTGGTCAAGTGCAATTCAGCCGTCCAACCCTTGAGTTGAGTGAGGGAGTAAGTCAACCACCGATTGCCTAAACTGAGAGGGCCGAGTGAGACGACCTATAATGTATACCTCGGCTTATCAATCGAGAGTGTGGTCTACGACCCTATTTGCATCCCTCTGCTATTCGCGGTTACCTTGCCCATAGCAATCGTTTCAATTCGAATACCATGGTAGTAGTTAGAGGGAAGCGACACCCAAGTGATCCTTCTCACAAAGAGCTTTCAAAACCATTTACCTTTGCCTTATTTTAGTTTAAACATACTTATCCTATATAGCACCCGGCTAAGGTTTATAGTTGGACCTTAGGCAAGAATTTATTGTGGTATTCGGGACGAGTCACACATTCAAAGGCCAAAAATTTGAGGGAAGAATTTGCAAACTACTTGGGCAATTACTTTGCTAATGTAGACATGGATCTACTTAAAAGGAAAACCCGTAATGTTGTTGCAAGCATTGGAGGAAGATGGCGGATTAGATGATTGAAGAAGGGCCTATGAGAAGTCCTTTCCCCAAAAGGAATTCCATTTAATTAGCCTAGAAGGAGTGGTGGTTAATCAAATCATTCGTGAATTAGCACTATGTAATGGGTGATTTACTTTACTTGTTGCTTAACTTTTTGTTTTCTTTATTAGTTTTGGATTTGATTTATGTAGCCTATACAAAGGGGCCGAGTTTCATTTTTGTTGATTATCGAAAAGTTTATCAATCAATACAGAGAGTTATCTCATGTTTCTTTGTGAACGTTTGCCCAAATTTCAGTAGAGGATTACAGGAGTTTGTGCATCTCTTAACAACTAGAAGATCACATCTAGTTGAGGTGAGTTTTACCCAAATAGCTATTGGACCTTATCACAAGTTGATATTGTTTGATCGTGTCCCATCTTTATCATTGTGTTTGAGTGAATCATCTTGGAGATAGAAGTTGGCTGCGTACTTTGGTAATCGTTGAGGATTCGAGCCTCAATTCATATCAAGTGGTATTAGTGACCGATTCAAAATTAGCGGCGAGAAAACGTTCTTCAAGGTTTCTTGAAGTTCTTTTACGTGTTCGAAGGGTTTCTTGAAGTTCTTGGATGTGTTGAAGGTATTCTTGAAGTTCTTTAAGGGTTCTTGGAAGTTTCTTTCTATTCTTGAAGAGATTTCTTGATTTCTTGGAACACCATAATGGAGGATATGATGAAGCAATTGGCGACACAAATGGAGGCTTTACTTCAAGCAGAAGCCACCAATAATGCAAGGATAAAAAAAAGGAATCCATGGAAGGAAGTCTTAATGCACTGACAACACGTCAACCTCAACCTTCCATGGCCGACGAAAACCCTAACCCTAATTAAGAGAGGATTCGGCGAGAAAAAGGAAGAGGAAGTTGAGTTGTGCAGCAACCTGTGATTGAGCACTTAAGGCGACATCATCCCTTTGGAGTGCTGCGCAATGGAAGGAGGAATCCACCTTAATTCTATGACGAGGAAGAGCATACAGAGTTCCAAGATGATGGTGCTTACCCACGAGAAGATGATGATGAGTTAAAGAACATCAAAGTTATCATCCCTTCGTGTAAAGGGATGACTAATCCAGATGCTTACCTCGATTGCGAGAGGAAGATGGAATTTATATTTGATTGCCACAATTACTCCGAGAATATGAAGGTAACCCTAGCTGCCCTAGAGTTATCAAGAGCAACATCAAGGTTTGAGAAGACTTCCTACCTCACGTGTAGTTTGCCTCCAACAGAGCAGTGCACTCGATAACAAAGTACTCACCTTTTGAGCTTGTGTATGGTTTCAATCCCTTCATGTAAAGGAACTCTATCTTAAATGCTTCGAGCAGTTACCAAGAGCAACATCAAGGTTTGAGAAGACTTGCTACCTCATGTGGACTTTTCTTGCAACAAAGTAGTGCACTCGACAATAGAGTACTTACCTTCTGAGCTCGTGTATGATTACAATCCACTTACACCCTTGGGATTTGATTCCATTATCTTTAAGGAGCAAGTGAATATGGATGGAGTAAAGAAGACCAAGTTTGTGAAGAATCTTCATGAGAATGCAATATTGAACATCGAGAGGAGGATAGAGCAAATCATGAAGAATGTTAACAAGCATGGGAAGCATCGACAGTTTGAAGTTGGAGATTGGGTGTGGGTGCATTTAAGGAAGGAAAGATTCCCACATCAAATGAGATCCAAGCTGCTACCTCGATGTGAAGATCATTTCCAAGTGATTTCGAAGATTAGGAGTAATGCCTACAAATTTGACTTTCCAGATGAGTACGAGATAAATGCAACCTTCAATGTTTTTGATCCTGCGCAATATCTGGATAACAATTCGGATTTGAGGGAAAATCCATTTCAAGAGGGAGGGAATGATGTGGTCATCAAGACCAAGGTCACTAGACCAGAGGAGAGTCCTCTTACATGTCCAAAGGCCAAGAAGTTGAGAGAATAATTTGCAAACTACTTGGGCAACTACTTTGCTAGTATGGACGTGGATCTACTAAAAAAGAAGCTCATAATGTTGTTGTAATTCTTGGAGGAAGGTGGCGAATTGAAGGATTGAAGGAGGGGCTTTAAGAAGTTCTTGGCTCAAAAGGAATTCCATTTACTTAGCCTACAGGGAATGGTGGTTAATCAAATCCTTTATGGATTATATGTAATGGGAAAATTTACTTTATTTTTTGCTTATGTTTTCGTTTTCTTTATTAATTTTTGATTTGATTTATGTAGCCTATATAAAGGGGTCCATTTCTATTGTAATGGATTATCGAAAATTTTATTAATCAATATAGAGAGTTATCTCGTGTTCCTTTGTGAACATTTGCCCAAATTTCTGTAGAGGATTCCAGGAATTTGCGCGTCTCTTATCAAATAGAAGATCACATCTAGTTGTGGTGAGTTCTACCCAAATAGCGATTGGCCTTCTTGACATGTTGAGATTGTTTGATAGTGTTCCATCTTTATCATTGTGTTCGAGTGATGTATCTTGAAGATCGAAGTTGGCTGCGTACTTTGATAACCGTTGAATCCAGGATCTTGAGCCTCGATTCATATCACTAGCATGGATCGAGAAGTATATATTAAAGGGATGGTTGTGGAGGAATCTATTAAACTCAAACCTTGGTATTTGTACAGAATTAAGGTGGACCAACATATGCAGATTACTTGGCAGGGACATCCTCTACCAAAATTTTCTGTTAAGGTTGTTTGGCAATCCATCAGACCAAGAGGATAGAAGGTGAAATGGTACAAAGTGTTGTGGGGAAAATTTGTGATTCCAAGATATAGAATCTTGTCCTGCCTTGTTATCATTAATCAAATAGTTACTAGAGATAAGATGGTGGAATGAGGCTGCACTAATTCTAGTCATTGCCCTCTAAGTGATCAGAAGGGAGTAAGTCATGATCACTTGTTCTAGTGATGTTAATACTCTGGTGTTGTTTCTGCAAAATCTTCAAGGAGCAAAGGAGAGTGATGAGAATTCTATGGTGTTGATACATAAGACTGAAATGGAAGAAAAGATATTTTAGAATATTTGGATGGGATGAGAAAAAGGTGGGAAGCTGTTATGCACCAAATGCAAAGGAATGTCAATCTTTTATTAATAATTTTGGTGACATGAAGTGCTGAGTGTAACAAACTAACAAAATTTGGAATGATCTTTTTGTTATACCATAAAAAAGATTGAACTTAACATTGTGAGTTGTGACCGTTTTTGTATCAAACGTGTATCATGGAATTGTGCAAAAAGTCGTGTAGGTTCGGTTTGAAGGTGATGCCCAGGTGATCATTGAGAAGATTTTTCGGCGGGATGTTCGGGATAGTCGTGTAGGCTCGATTCTAGAGGAGGTGGTCCGATTTTTTGATGGGAATATGGGGTTTACTATACGGTTTGTAGGTCGGTGGAACAATAGGGTAGCTCATTTGGTGGCTCGTAAAGCCCTGTCTTTGTCTCCAACTACAAGTCGTTTGTTTCATTATCAGGCCTGGCTGAATTCCAGAATGTAATTGTCTATTTGATTCAATTAATATATGATTATCTTTTGTAAAAAAAAAAAAAATTTGTGCTAAAAGTAGGGGTGAACAAACACACCCGCAAACCGACCCACCCGTCCAACCCGACCCAACCCACCCGTATTTGTCGCTAAATCGAAGGTTTTGGGTTGGGTGAGGGTTTTCTTTTGTACAACCCGCCTCATTTGGGTTGGGTTTGGATTTTAGATTACACAACCCGTAGAACCCGACCCAACCCGTGTTCCAATTATTGGTATGAGTTCGTATCCAAAAAAATATTTATGTCGTATATAGTCATACTTATGAGAAAATTAAGATATTTCGCCATGTTTTTCTATTAAAGTCTCACTAATCTAATGCGTTCTTCGACTTAAAGTTTAGACATATATTTAATATAGCTATGATTCACGTATTTTTTTTTTCTTGTGTACAATTTTAAAAGAATATCATATTATGGATGCGTTCATTTGTAACCTTTTTAGCCTATTTCAACAAATGGCTTGAAAAAAACTAGACATAAGTTGAAGTAAATCAAGTTTTATTAAAATTCAAACAATATTTGTGAATTTTGATACCTTTCACCTCGGTTTATTCGTTTGAATTTTTAATTTTTTATAAAATATTTTTATGATGTAGAATAATTACATATTTTGTGTTGGGTTGGGTTTTTACTTAAAAATATCGCCAACCCGACCCAACCCAATTAGAAACAAACCGTAGGGTTTAGATTTTTTTGGGTGGATTTGGGTTTAATATTTCCCAAACCGTAGTGCATGGGTTGGGTGATTAAAATGCCTAAACCCGGACCACCCGACCCATGTACACCACTAGCTAAAAGTAAAACATTGCGACCGTACGAAATGCAAAGTTATCGTGTACTTTTAGGTGAATTACCCATAGATCACTGGCTTATTATTCCAACTAAATAATCTGCGAAAACGGCAGTGCGACCAGAATTTGGCAGCTCCTTCGCTTCCCCTCCGATCTGATCTTCGATCTTCCTCTTCGCTGCCCACAACTAACACTACCCAGTAACTCAACTCCGATGGCGGATACAATTCCCTCTCAAACGCCGCCGAGATCCGCCACGGACCTCTTCTCCGAACCGCTAGATGGCCACCCACTCTGGTTCAAGCCCAACCTCTTCCTCTCCCCTAACTTCGACTCCGAATCCTACATCTCTGAGCTCCGTACCTTTGTTCCCTTCGACAACCTACGCTCCGAGCTTCAGAGCCACTTGGCTTCCCTCAACCACGAGCTCATCGACTTAATCAACCGCGACTACGCCGATTTCGTCAACCTCAGCACCAAGCTTGTCGATGTAGACGCCGCCGTGGTCCGGATGCGGGCTCCGCTTTTGGAGCTCCGGGAAAAAATCGAGGGATTCAGGGGCAGCGTCGAAGGCTCTCTTGTTTCTCTCAGAAATGGATTGAAGCAGAGATCCGAAGCTGCTGCCGCTCGAGAGGTCTTGGAACTGCTCTTGGACACCTTCCATGTTGTTTCCAAGGTAAGATGTGCCCCCCTAAAAATTGAATTCGCTTTACCAAATCTGTTTTCAGATCCTTGAATTGAATCACCGTTTGAAATTCGGATCGGGCGATGGCTAATTGAATGTAGGTTGAGAAACTTATAAAGGAGCTACCAAGCGTTCCTGCTGATTTGTCCAATGGAGATGCAAATCTGATTGGGAAGAATGCTTTGAGCAATGGCAATTATGTGCCGCCAACTGAGAACGGGGCGAATCTTAGAGAAACTCAAAGCATGCTTCTGGAGAGAATTGCTAGCGAGATGAATCGGCTGAAGTTCTATATTGCTCACGCACAGGTCTGTTCTCGGATTTCCTTGTATTTCTTCAGAACCAATCTGCCTGTGGCATAAAAATTTTAGCCTTTCTCTTGACTGCTGTGTTTAAAGTGTTTTAATAGAGGAGTGTGTACTCTTTTATGTGCTCATTGTCTCTTCTCTGCTATGCTAGTACAGAATCTTCCTTTCATTGATAACATGGAGAAGAGGATTCAAAGTGCAAGTCAGTTACTGGATGCCAGTTTAGGACACTGTTTTGTGAACGGGCTAGAAAATCATGACGACAATGCCATTTACAATTGTTTACGTGCATATGCTGCCATTGACAACACCAAAAGTGCAGAAGAGATTTTCCGCACCACAATCGTAGCTCCTCTAATGCATAAAATTATCCCACACGAGCCTTCAGCTGGGGGTGCAGGGGTTTCATCAGTTATACTTGAAACTGATTATCTGCAGATCAAGCAATGCATCCAGAAAAACTGTAAATTCCTCCTAGATATTGCTTCTGAAGGTATATCGTGCTTACCTTTTGTGAAACTAGTTGTTTGAGTTGCCTTAAAAAGACAGAAAACAGTTATGAGGTAGCTTTGTCATTTGATGATTCATCTAGATGCTTGCATGTCGAACATCATCTAACTTTCCATGAGATTATTGTTTGTCATGTCCATCCGTGTACTTGGTTAGGTGTAACTAGAATATGGTTTTACTAATTTTTTCTGTTGTTCCCTTGTTGTTACTTGGGGATGGTTGGCTATCCATAGAAAATTCCGGGTTGCACGTTTTCAACTTCCTCTCCAACTCCATTCTGAAAGAAGTCCTCTCCTCAATTCAAAAGGGAAAGCCTGGTGCCTTCTCACCTGGTCGACCGTTGGAATTCCTTAGAAATTACAAATCAAGCTTAGATTTCTTGGCATATCTCGAAGGTACGCGAACAACTTAGTTTCTTTCTTGTGTCACAAAGGCATCATTAAGATCGTTCTTGGGCTAATGAATAATAAGTTAAATCAACGGAACATAGTGTTGTGATTACATTAAGCTATAAGTTCATTATATTTATAACATCCCATTGTCATGCAAGGCTATTGTCCATCCAGATCTGCTGTTACAAAATTCAGAGCAGAACCAGTATACGTAGAATTCATGAAGCTATGGAACGTTGGAGTTTATTTTTCCTTAAGGTATGGAGATTCCATGTGTGTTTATTTTTGCTTTTACAGTGGCTAGCGGAATAAGTTGATGCTAGGCCCTTGGAAACATTTCAGATTTCAGGAGATAGCTGGTGGTCTAGAGACTGCTCTTGCAGTAACCAGCCTTGTCCCTGTGCAGCAGAAGTTTTTATCTGATGATAACATTTCCCCACCATTAACATTAAAACAGAGTGCTACTCTTCTAGAGAGCCTGAGATCTTGCTGGAGAGAAGATGTTCTTATCATTTCTTGCTCTGACAAATTCCTTCGCTTAACCTTGCAGCTTCTGTCAAGGTTAGTAACTTGGTATTTTTAGCAACACAAGGAAATATTTGATAGTCTTGCTTTGATAAATGCTTTTCTTTCCTCAATGACCTAACCTTTGATTTGGTTTATATGAAAAATAACTGTGGAGAGTTATGGTTCTAAATATTCGAGCAGATATTCAAATTGGCTGTCATCTGGACTTGCTGCTCGGGAAACTGGCAGTACAGGCTCAACGCCTGGATGCGAATGGGCAATTTCAGCCGCTCTTGATGATTTCATTTATGTATGGATCATGGGGTGAAGTTTACTGCATCATGTTTATTCGTCTACTGATTTTCTAAAGTTTGGATTGCTCAAAACAACCTCACTCAATATTACCTTCTATGACTGAAGTTGTGGACCTCCTCCCTTCAATTTGCATGACCTTTTAGTGCTGACAACATTCCAAGAATGATATATATATATTTTATCTTTCCTTTTTTGATGTCTGCAGATCATTCACGACATTAAGAATCTTTCCGCAGAAGTCTGTGGGAACTACCTCGAGCATGTAGTGGAACTTTTATCCTCGTGTTCCTCGGACTTCATTGACCTAATAAGACAAAGCATTCTTCAAGGTGGAAGGTCTCTGAATGATTTATCACTACCAGTCATGAAGGCTGTTATAGACACCCTGAAGGACAAGGCTGAAGAGGTATGCTATAAAATGAATAAAGTATTGGACCTTGGTGGTTTTGATGATGATTGTTGACTTTGATTACCCGTTTGAGTGTAGCTTCTTGCTGTTTGACTGTGTACTTGCATCAATGATGTAAGTAGTGTTTAATTTCTTGCTTCAATATCATGTAGGACTTGAAACAATTGAAGGGGATAACTGCGACATACAGGATGACAAACAAGCCTCTTCCTGTGAGACATTCCCCCTATGTGTCTGGGCTATTGCGTCCAGTAAAGGTATGTGGTCTTTGCTTTCCTCAAATCAGCCGCTAAACGGTTTCTATATCCGCACAGTCAGATCTGGTCACTTCAAACAATACTCCAACACTTCCTTGGCATATGTATGGGACACAGGCTTTTCTGGAGGGGGAGCGTGCTACGACTTATCTTACCGAGGAAGTCAGGAAAGAGTTACTTCTCGGTACTGCAACTGCAATAACTGATTGCTATAGCAAATTAGCTACTGAGCTCGTTAGTCTGGTTAGTATGTTCGACGAAAACCATTGGCCTGGTCAAACCACATAATTTCCGTTTCATATCTCTTGGCATTCACACCTCCCTCCCTGACTACTACTCTCTTTCTCTCTCTCTCCCTCTGTTCAGGCAAGGAAAACGGAGTCTTCACTCCAGAAAATTCGGCAGGGAGCCCAGCGTCGTGCTGGAACGAGCTCTGATGTGTCGGACCACAGCATATCAGACACGGATAAAATGTGCATGCAATTGTTCCTTGACATCCAGGTAAAAAGTTCAAGTTTCTTTTTCGATCCCTTATTCAACATCATTTTCTAGTGTCTTGGTAACTCAATCTCTGCCCGATTCCATTTTGTTGTTGTTGTATAAACAGGAATATGGACGAAACCTTGCCGCCCTTAGCGTTGATGCAGCCAACATTCCATCGTATCGCTCCTTGTGGCAATGTGTTGCTCCCTCCGATCGGCAAAACGTTATTAGCTTGTGATTCTTGCTTTGCCCTAACAAAGCAGCAGCTTCAGCTTGTAGATGTAGTACTAGTAGTTTTCAAATACCTTCACCCTTTTTGTCCCATACATATATATGTTTTTTGACTATTACTATTTTATTATTATGATACAGCCCCTATTGATTGTACTTCTCTATTACTATTTTATTATTATATTATATGTTATAGTTCAATTTGTTAGCTCCATAAACTGTTTCAAAACTGGTTTTGTTAGGATTGTCGCCTGTCTGTGGGTAAACAAAAAAGAAAAAAAAAATGATGAACGGCTAATCCCTGGACCTGTAGTTCAGAAGTAGCACGACAGCAGAGTCGCTCGGCAATCGAGTTGCAGCAGCCTCTCTGTAACTGTGAGTAACTTACTGCATCATTTCCTCTGTTTATGCTTTCTTTTCCCTTTCCTGTTTCGATGCAGCAATCGACCGGTATGTCTAGGAATGCTAAGTTTAAAAAGAAGCACAAAACAAATGTGTTTTTTTTTTCTTCTGCTCCCATGATAAATGGCGAGGAAGTCATAATAATAGTTCAGTATCAAAAGAAAAGGAAGAGGAAGTCATAATAATAGTGCAGTATCAAAAGAAGAAGAAAAAAAAAAAAAAAAAAAGAAAGAACGTTTTTGCCCAAATCAACAAATGATAGCAATGGAAGTTCCAGCACAAAAAAGGAACAGAAAAAAAAAACACCCATAACTCAGCGAATGAATCGGAAAAAAGAACAGAAGAAGCAGCAGCAGCAGAAAATTGGTGGTGTATGCAGGCAGCTTTTTAGTTCGTTGCCACTTTTAACTTTTAAGGGGCAACCTTGGTCTTTCTCTTCTTGGACCAGAACCTGGGTGCAAAGCTGGGAAAGCAGCAGCTGCTGCCATGGCGCTGGTCGTGATCATCCTTAGCAGATTTAGATGATGATCCATCATTCTGAACCCTCTTGTTCCCAGATTTCAGACCTGTGACCACAACAGCACCACCTGGGAGAGGGGAAGAAGATGATGCTGCTGCTGCTTTCCTGGAATGTGGGGATGGAGCTAGGAAAAATTCCTTCTTCCAGAAACTGTCTTGAAGGAACTCCACCAGCTTCAGCTGCTTACTGGTGGTGGTGATTGTTGGATGAGCCCCACCACTGACGTCTCCATCAGTGCTGATCTCTTCGATCCAGTAAGGATCTGTGAAGAATTCAATGAGGGGCTTCTGATCCCTTGCTGGTGGTGCGGGTGCTTCGACGTGGCCAATTGTTGTTGCTCTTGTTGTTGTTGTTGTTCTTGGTGGTGGTGGAATCATATGGATTTTGCTGCGCTCCAGCATCGAACGGTAGTATATATTCTTGATGCATATTCTCCTTTTCTGGGGAGTTCCCGGCCTGCTTGAAGCCACACTTGGAGTACCTGCCACATTTTGGAAACGATTAGAGTGTCGATTAGATTTCGCACAAATTCATACACTTTTTTCTGTTCATATTAGTGCGCATGAGAATTACATTGGTTTGAGATGTATCAAAGGATAACGGACGACAGAGAGACAATATTACAAAGAATGATATATGGATAAGTTTTCCAGACAGAGAGACTGTGTAGTGATGAAGGCTAACCACCTTTGACACTGTAGTAATCATCCTCTGAATCTGAAGCCAAATAAGCTCGAGAGTCCTGAAAACTCTCCTCCTTGCTGCTGGAGTCTGTGGGAAGAGCATGGTAGATGTATATGCAGATAGATGGTCAGGTTGATTGAGAATTTGGGTTGGTTGTCAGTCATTATCATTTCAATGCATGTCAGTTATAGACAGAAAGAGGATACATACCCAAGTCGTCAGCAGCAGCAGCAGCAACTGTTGGTTCCACCATAATCTCAGGACTCACCCTTCTTTCATTGAGTTTGATCATTCCCATCTTGTTTGTTGTTGGCTTTCAGTCTATTTAGCCGTGTCTCCCAGAATGACCACTGCAGCAGCTCACTGCTCTTCCCACTTATGACATAACTTGAACCCCCTAGATCTATTCTGCTGCTTCTGCGGACAATCGAGGAAGACGAAGGAGGAAGAGAAGAAAGAAGAAGAAGGAGAGAGGAAATGGGCGTGTACTTGGGGAAGGGCAAGCAGGCCAAATGAAAGGAGACTGAACGTAGGAAAACACTGTCTCTGTCGAGTCTAATCATTCATAGATATAGCCGTATGAGCATCTTGGCTGCACTCGAAGATAGCAACGGATGAATTATGGAATTTAATATCCTATTTATGGGCATCGTGTCCAACTAGACTTTTTTTTTTAGGGGATGTCCAACTAGACTTGGGCAAAGGAATGAAGTTCAATCAATTTCAGGCTCTCCTTTATTATTATGGGTAAAAGGTAAGTTTCATCACTTGAATTACTAGTAAATTTTACGTTAGTCACTAAAATTACTTTATTCTATCCGTAGTCACTTAAATTAGTTCAACAGTTCAAATTTGGTCACTCTCCGTTAGTCTCCGTTAACTTTGGCTGATGTGGTAGTCAACGCTGACAATTGACCGTTAACTAAGTAAAGTGGCAATTAAAAAATTAATTAAAAAATAAAATTAAAACTTTCCAATTTCCAACTCATTTTTGCACCCATTTTAAAAAAAAAAAAACTCTTCCTCCCAATATCAATATGGCATTTTTGGTTTTCAATTACAAATTTAAGAAATTTCAAATCCTCTCGCCAAAAGAAGAAAAGATCCAATCCCTAGCTCGTTGACAGAATCTCCTTCTCCTCCTACATACCATCCATGTAGGTGACTAGCTCCCTGCGCATCCATCAGACGAATCCCTTGCTCACACGCAACGCAACCCAGCCAACCAAGTCAAGAAGCAGAGCTTCGAAGAAAAGCACATAAGGTGATCGGGGACTGTCATGAGGAAGATTCTAGAACATTCTAGAAGGATGTAGGTACATGCATGCATCTTCCGATTCATGCACCGATGTACATGCACCCCCCTTTATCTATCTTTATTCATGCACCTTATTTATTACATTCATGTATGAAGCAAGTTCATGTATGGGGGACTTCTAGGTTCGTTCATTTATGACGGCCACCTACATTGTACTTAGTGGAGAGGATGCATATATAAGTAGCCCTCTCCCTCACTTTTCATTCATCCAGAAATAAGAGAGCTTTCCATCTCTAGAGAATTTCCCAACTTGTGAGTTTGAGTGAATACGAGCAAGGCTGACTTAACGCTCTAACGAGACTTGAGAGCTAAGTGCCGCACAACCAAGAGTTGGTCCGTGACAAGTGGTATCAGAGCCAAGGTCGTAGCTCAGCAAGTGAGAAAGAACCTCGAAGAGATGGCTGGATCCGGAAGCGAAGTTCTCAACAATGAGCAACCACGCAGTCATGAGGAGAAGAAGGATCCAAACAATAAAACCATTGTGATAGATCTACTCGAGAGCCTTTGGTTGCAATCGAGGAGAGGCTCACGAAGGCAGAGACGAAGATTGCCAAGCATACAACCATGTTCGAGGACATGGAGTTGAAATTCGATCAAGTCAGTGCAGAGGTGCAGACTTCGAAGGACGACATGCAAGGCATGGGCACTCGAATGGCGGGCTTGGAGGTGGGGTTAGAAGCTTTCAGAGACGAGTCTGTGACCATCATCACCAACGCCATCGACTCCTTGAGGAAGACCGTTCGAGGCCAGGTGGGCAAAGTAAGAGAAGAATTTGACGAGCTTCGAGGAGAGCTCAATCCCGTCAAAAGAGCCCTGGCTAACGGACCTGTCGCGATTCAATCTACCCCACGCGTGGATGTTCCAAGGCCGAAGAATTTCGGAGGCTCAAGGAATGCGAGGGAATTGGAAAATTTCCTTTAGAGTCTTGAGCAGTATTTCAAGGCTTCGGGCATCAATGACAACGAAGTCATGGTGCGCACCGCCTCCCTTTACTTGGTTGATAAGACCATGGTGAGGTGGAGGAGAAGGCAAGGAGACATAGAAAGAGGCACGTGTGTGATGAACACGTGGGAGAATTTCCCTAGGGAAATCAAGAGGCAATTCTACCAGGAGAATGTGGAAATGGAAGCTCGTGCAAAGCTTCGACGACTCACCCACACCAGCGGAATTCGTGAGAATGTCAAGGAGTTCTCGGAATTACTATTCGAGATCATCGATCTTCCGGACAAGGAGGCTTTGTTTGGCTTCCTTTTTGGATTGCAGCCTTGGGTGAAGTTGGAGCTCGAGAGACGTGGAGTGCAAGATCTTGCTACTGCCTTGGCAATGGCAGAGGCTCTCACGGAGTACAAGAAGAGTGAGAGGCCGAACGAGTCGAAGAACTCGAAGAGCAAAGGAGGAGGAGATCATTGATAGCACTCCAAAGAAGGGAAAGGCTTGTACCAACATGGAGGCTCGAGCAAGGGAGCAGGATCTGGTAACCATGATAAACCCATGTCCTGTTTCCTTTGCAACGGTCCACATAAGTGTGGGATTGCCCAAAGAAGAGAAAACTAGCAGCCTTGGAGAAACAAGAAGGGAAGACCAAGGAAAATTCTAGGGAAGAGGAAGGGAAGATAGGCTCCATGCGGAGGCTAGGCGCGGCAAAATCAGGCCCCAACGAAGTTAGCAAGGGGAGATTATTTGTGATCACCCAATTCGAGGGAGGCGAGTCAAAAGCATTGGTTGACACCGGTGCGACCGACAACTTCCTTAGAGTGGAGGAGGCAGAGCGCTTGGGGATCTCTTACGAGAAGAGGCAAGGATCGCTCAAGACCATCAACTCCGAGGCAATACCCATCCATGGCGTTGCCAAGAACGTGCCATTGAAGATTGAAGGATGGGAAGGTGTTGCCGACTTCTGTGTCATCACTATGGATGATCATCCAGTCATTCTTGGCGTTAATTTCATGGAGAAGGAGGGCGCGGTGATGACAATGAATTCCAACACTCTCTGCCTTGACAAGGGAGATAAATTTTGCACGGTGAAGATGTTGTGCGAAGAAGGGCCGAAGAGGATGGAACCCACGTTCCTTGTCACTTTGCGAGCGAAGGAAGAACGAGGCTCGGTGGCGCCAACAGTTCTCATCGATGGCGTGTGATAATCGACTTTAATATATCAGATTCTTGAATTTTATGTGACTATCCCATGATATGTTTAAGCCGATTGATGTTATTTTAGGGCTCGCTAACCAGAGAATGGTTGAAAAACCATTACTGCCTAGTGCCATGAGTTTGATGTATTACAGGTGAATAAAGAACGATAAAGGAGATTGGGTCGAGCTTCCCTGGGGACCGAATAATTGGAACAGGCTGCAGGGAGTTGAACGGCAGCAGTGTTTTTGGGCTTGGATTGGCCCACTGAATTAAATGGACATGAGGCAGAATTAAGAAGGGGAGTGGGCCACGAAAATTGCTGGGGGTGGCTATTATTATTTGGACGGAAAAAAAGATTATGGAGAGGAGAATTGGAGTGGGCGGCCTAAAGGAGAAAAGGGCAGGAGCTGGAAGAAATCTCTTTGGGAGGGAGGAATAATTGGACACGAAATTGAAGGGGAGAATTGGAGCTGGCGGCGGAATTATATTTGCCAGGAGGCAATTAATTGAAGTGGCTATTCTTGGACGGGGGGCGGAATTATTCTGGGAAAGAAATCTTTTTTGGGGGCGAAAGAAAAAGGAGAGTTGCGGCGGAATTAAGAAGGTTTGGGACGCGAGATCGAGCGGCAATTTGGCGAGTCACTTCTCCCAAGGCGGTTTGAGCTGAGTTCAATGAGAGCGATTATTTGGTTGGATTTTCTGAACCAAATTAGTTGTTTATTGTTGATTTAGAACATGATGATCAAAACCATATTGTTTTATCTTAATTTCATCATGAACTAAACCCCGATTTCTGGGGGAAACACCATAGGATGTAGCTATTTCTATATTTGATGGATTGATTCATAATTCTTTTCTTCCAATCTCTATTGCATGAAATTACTTAATGCTTTGTGTTGACTGGCCACCAATACATTGATTCGTTGTTAATTAGGTTATTAGCGACAATGAAACCCTAATAACTGAACATATTTAATGTGACATATTAACTTATCAAAGCGACAGTGGATTAAATAAGGTGCTATGTGGTCTTAAATAGGATATCAATCTTCAGGCTAAATAATTAAGTCATTAAGCTATGACAGTAGGATTTGGTTTAATTGTTTAGTACGTAGTAATTCCCGACAGGGATAGCTAACACATTCGTGATATCCTGGCTGTAGAGAGTTGGATTAAATTGATCAGAATATGTGAATTGATCTGGATAGGAAGGATTGTCTGATCGGGCAGTTCGTGGGGGCTCTCCCTAAATTGGGGCTTCTCCAGCAATGGGCAAATGGTCTATGGGGCAGAGATGGTCCGGTGACGGTGTCGAGGTTCGGGCCGCGCTTACTGGTGTTTCAGTTTCCCTCTGCAGGGACAAGTCAGTGGTTTTCAAATCGGGGCCGTGGCACTATCTTGGCAATCAGATCTAGGGTTGAAAAACGGGACGGGATTGGGTACCTGTCTCATTTGAAACAGGTACCCAGTCCCATTTGGAGACCAAAGCCCATCCCATATCCCATACCCGAACGGGTAATGGGTACCCGTCAACCCGTACGAGACGGATGACGGGTACCCAAACTACCCGTTTATACCCGTTCAACAAATAAAATAACAAAATAAAGCTACTGTAACTAAGTTCGAACAACAACATAACAAAGTTTTAGCTACTGCAATTGTCCCATAAGTTGCATCCCCATAAGTTCAAGCAAATGGGTACTAAATTTAGTACTAAATTTATTTGGTACTAAACGCTAGTTAATTTCATTTATGGTGAGTTGGCCATGGCTCAATCCAAGAGCTTTTCAAAGCCTAAGGATGGTTCTGCTGCAGTGGGAGAATATGGCTCCTCTAACTAGTGATGGCTACTGTGTGCTTACACTTCACGATAAGTACCTGGCATGCATATTTAGAAGTAGGACTATGTATAGTCTATATATACCCGCGGTTGAAAGACATTTATGTGTTGGTGACTGTCATCGGGATTACTCCTCTACTATATATGTTTATCATGAAGGTAACTTTGTTACTGGATGATTTCCCTTTTCATTTTCATGGATATATTATACGGGTAATACGGGTACCCAAAGTACCCAAACGGGTATTAGCGGGTACCCAATGTTGTGATTCTTAATCCTAAGTCCCATCCCACAATAATTATAGCGGGTATTTGGGTACCCGTAACCCTCAAAAAACGGGACGGGTTTGGGTATACCCAAATACCCATTTCCCGTTGCCCACCCCTAATCAGATCTTCTTCAGGAAGTGGGCACCAGGCATTCAGCCGGTTGACCCCAGTAATTGAGGAATTGCCGATTTGGGTTAGAATTTGGGGGATACCTCTGGAGTATCATACGATTGAAGGGCTTGAATGGATTGAAAGCACTATTGGTCCGCCGGTCTGGATGGATCAAACCACAAGAAAGGGCCATCAGTTGGAGTTTGCAAAGGTTTGTGTTAATCTTGCGGCTGATTGTGGTTTTCCAACTAAAATTAGGTTGTATCCAAATGATGATCCGTGTTTCGATATTGGGATTAAGTATTTGAACAAACCTTCGGTCTGCTCTAAGTGTGAGGTCTATGGGCATGACTGCAATAGAAGTGAAACTGTGGATAAGAAATGGGTGCCAAAAATCAAATCTGCTGGTGCTGAGGTAGGTCAGTCCGAAGTTGTTCCACCTATGTTGGAAGCTGTAAGTAAGGGTAAAGAGAAGGTTACTGCTGAAATGGAATTTGAGAATGAACCCTTGGAGGTTTCAGTGGAGGAAGGGCAAACTTATGGTGATTTAACCCTTGGGGATTCTGGGGACCATGCTGTGAGATTTGTTGATGTTGTGAAGGGTTCAGTTTCTGGGGGTAGTTCTCCTATTACTTTGGAGAATACTTCACCAAGCTCTGGGAGGCAAGCTCCTTTAGAGGAACCTCCTGATACTCAGAATCCATGGATTACAGCGAGTTAGAGAAAGAAGACACCTACTGCTCCCATTTCAAAGAGAAGGGGCAGGGGAGGTAAGCGGAAATGAAGTTCATATCATGGAATACCCGGGGATTTAAAGACCCAGATAAGAATAAAGATGTGCAACTACTAGTTAATAAATATATATTATATTATTGCTTTGTTAGAACTAAGAGTCAAAGTTGATAAAGCTGAGGAACTAGTGAATAAGCGTTTTCCAGGTTGGGAGAAGAGAATTGTGGGAAATGATGCTGGCTTGAGTAAGATTGGGATGATTTGGAGATCTGATGTACAAATGAGGGTCCTTCATAGTACTGATCAGTTCATTCATGCTATGTTCTGTTCTGGTTTTCCCTTCTTTGTTACTGTGGTTTATGCCTCTAATGAGGAAGCTGAGAGAAGAGTTCTTTATAGTAATCTGGGGGATATTCAGGTTCAATCTGAACCTTGGGTTATATTGGGGGATTTCAATGCAATAGGGGATGTGACTGAGGCATCTAATTCTCCTGGAGTTAGTTCTAGTATGGGGATTTCAGAAAATGGCAGTTTGACATTGAGATTGTAGAGCACAAGTCTTCTGGACCATGGTTCACATGGATCAATAAGTAGTATGGAAATCCAAATGCGAGGAGGCTGGATAGAGCTTTCATAAACTGTAAATGGTTGGATGTTTTTGGGTCTAGCACAGTCGATATTTTGCGTCCTGCAGTATCTGACCATTGCCTAGTGTTTGTTAACACTGATAGTTCTATTAAATCTCTCCCTAAACCTTTTAAGTTTTTCAAATTTTGGATACAAAATGAAAGGTACTAGGATCTGGTGAAGGAGGCTTGGAGCTCAGAGGTTGTTGGTTCACCCATGGAGAGAGTAAGTAGGAAGCTAAAAATATTGAAAGGGTTGCTTAAGAAACTGAACAGAAGTGAATACTCTGATCTTCATGAGAGGGCAAAGCTCAAAGAGCAGGAGTTGATTGTAGCTCAGGCCAGTGCATTCCAAAATCCCTCAGCTGAATCATTTCGGGAAGAGGCTCGGTTATCTGCTGATGTCAAAGGTTGCTGGGGCAGAAGGACTCATAGGTTGAGGCGAGTAGTATTGAGGAAATGAGAGATCTCCTGCAGTTCAAAGTTGGTGAGTTGCAGCAAGCTGCTTTAATTCAGCCAGTATTGGAGGATGAAGTCAAGAACACCCTGTTTGGTTTCAAAGGGGATAAAAGTCCGGGGCCAGATGGATTCCCAGCTTATTTTTTCCAAATAGCATGGCACATAGTAGGTCCTGGCATTACTTATGCTGTGCAACATTATCTCCTTAGTTGTTCTCTTCCAGGTACACATTCTACACTCTTAGCATTAATACCTAAGGTTCAGAACCCTGAGGAGATGAAGTTATTTAGGCCCATTTCCTGTTGCAGCACGCTTTACAAGTGTGTAGCAAAAATTCTTGCTGCTAGGCTTAGCTCAGTTTTGCCTTCCCTTATAATCCATAATCAAACTGCATTCATTAAAGGGAGAGTAATTGGTAAGAATATCTTACTAGCTCATGAGTTAGTCTAGAAGTACAATAGAAATGATATATCTCAAAGAAGCATTGTCAAGGTTGATATTATGAAGGCCTTTGACTCAGTGGATTGGGACTTTCTAATAACTGTGTTAAAAGCAATGAATTTCCCTGATCTATTTGTGAGGTGGATTGTTATGTGTGTTACTACACCTAAATTGAGTGTGGGGTTCAATGGAGGTATAGTGGGGTATTTCTCAGCAAAAAAAGGATTAAGACAAGGGGATCCACTGTTCCCTTATATGTTTGCCATTTCTATGGAAATCCTATCTGCTTAATGGCCAAGGCAGTCAGAGAGGGGAAAATGCCTTTCCATCCTATGTGCAAAAGGTTGGGATTGACCCATTTAATGTTTGCAGATGATTTGCTTATATTCTCGGATGGTTCAAATCATTGTATTCAATGTATTCAGAGAGTTTTGGGGGAGTTTAGGAGAATTACTGGACTTAAGTCAAATCCTGAAAAATGTGAATTGTTTTGTGGTGGAATTCCTATAGAATGACAGAAACAGATGGCTCAGAGGGCAGGGTATAAGCTGGGATCTCTTCCAATCAGATATCTGGGGTTGCCTCTCATACCGGGTAAACTTTCAATCAAGGCATGTAAGACACTGTTAGATAAAGTAACAGGAAGGATACATAGTTGGAAAACTAAGTTCCTTAGCTATGCAGGGAGATTGCAGTTGGTGATTTCTGTGCTTGGAAGCTTAACACAGTTCTGGATGGCAGTGTTCATTCTGCCAAAAAGGATTATCAAGGAGATTGAAAAGCTCTGCAATGATTTCCTATGGGGAGTATGTGATGGGGGAAAGAAAAGGGCTGCTGCAGCATGGAAGTACTTGGCACTCCCTAAGAAGGAAGGTGGATTAGGAGTTAGAGATCTAATGAGCTGGAATTTCTCTTATGTGATTAGACATATTTGGTTAATCCTGTTGCAGGAGGGATCTCTGTGGGTGGCATGGATAAGGGTATACAGGCTTAAGAACCATGACTTTTGGACATTCCAATCCAAAAATGGTTCTTGGATTTGGTTAAAATTATCGAAAAGTAGGGAAAAGATTGCCCAGTAGATGACTCTGGTGAATGGTGAGGTGTGGTGGAATGGCAAGGTAATGAAGAAGTACAGTATCAGACTGGTTTTGGGAGTCTTTCAGGCCGCAAGAAGCCCCTGTTCCTTGGTGCTCCTTAATATGGAAAGGTCCATCTCCCCCTAGAGATAAATTCCTTGCTTGGTTGGTAGTTAAGAATTATATTACAACCAGTGACAAAGTTGCAAACTGGGGAGGCAGAGGCCCCTTTTCGTGTGTGTTGTGTTCTTGCCCTCTAGAGACTAGAGCTCATATGTTCAGTGAATGTTGTGTGTTTAAGGAGTTGTTTGCAGGTTTGCTGGCCAAATCTTACCCTAGAATTCCAACTTATGATTGGGAAGTTGAATTGCAGTGGGCTTCTGCTCAGTTCAAAGGGAAGCAGGCGAGTAAACAGGTTGCTAAGGCAGTTTGGAGGGCGATAGTCAGTTCTATCTGGCGTGAAAGGTGTCTGCTGAAGCATGGAGGTGGTAAGAAAAAGCATCAGGAGATCATTGAACGTATCAAGCATGATATTGTTGTCTTGTTCTCAGAAGAAAATTTGAATAGTTTCTGGTCTTGATTAGCTTTGTCTCTTGGTTCTAAGTATAGGTTTCCTTTGTTAGCAAATGGTGTGTTCAGTGGGTTAGCACTATGTTTTTGTTAAATACTCAGTTTGGCAGGGTTGTTGCCTACAGTTTTGGACTCCTTTTTTGATGATATATAGAGTACACCAATTCATCAAAAAAAAAAAAAACAAAAAAAAAATTGAAACAATTAGTATGTAGCAGATCAGTAGACTACTTTTTTTTTTCTATACTTACAGATCCGTTCCACAATCAAGTAATCTATTTCCCGATTTTCAGAATATATAATATAGCTCACGTATTTTTATTTATTTTAAATGGATGTAAAAATGAGTTGGAAATTGGAAAAGTTTTAATTTATTTTTTATTAATTTTTTAATTGCCACGTCACTTAGTTAACGATCAACTATTAGAGTTGACTGCCACATTAGCCAAAGTTAACGGAGACTAATGGAGAGTGACCAAACTTGAACTGTTGAACTAATTTAAGTGACTACGGATGAAATAAAGTAATTCTAGTGGCTAACGTGAACTTTACTAGTAATTCAAGTGACCAAACTTGCAATTTACCCTTATTATTAATAACAATAATCTTATTATTATTTATTGCTACAAACAACAAGAAAAACTATTAATATATATAAACCTCAAGTTTGGTTACCGTCGCCAAACAAATTAAAAATTAGTCCCTGCCTAACAAATTACCAAAACATAATTGTTCCAGTTTTACATTAAACAAACATATATTAACTACATGTAACAGAATATGCGACATCTACATAAGCAAGTGTCAATAAATTGCTATGATGAAAAGAGTTGATTATTTTATTGACGACCAACTAAAATAATTGGTCAAAACCTTTCCATCATCTACTTCCTCTTCGTTTCATCTTTCACTTGCCTTCCATAACCCTTTCTTTATTTCTTTCTTTGCCATCTTCGTCTAACCCTAATTAGTATATTATTGTTATGTATTCTAATCACAAACATGAACGAGTCCATACACGACCGACCAACAATCAAGAGAATTAATAATTGAACCAGGAACCACTAATTTTTTACGCTCAATATCGAGTCTAATTAATAATAAATGTATATGGTTATTACTTATTAGAAAGTCGTCATTTTCCACTATGAGATTTGAATGCATGAAATTTTAAGCGAGTTCGAGTTTGTATTCCTTATGTTTCTCTTTAGAGTTTTTCTTTTGGGTTAATACCTTATTTTGGCCTAAACTATGACCATATAATCAACTTTGGCCAGTGGTTTCAGAAATTAACATCCTGGCCTCAACTATGTAACATATAGACTCAATTGGCCCGACACCTAGTTTGCCCGTCAATTTGGATGGTCAACACAATTGATCGTTAGTCAACACACCATGTCATTGCCTCGTCAGCTTAAAAATCATTAAAAAATTCAAATTCAAACTATTTTTTTAATTTTTATTATTTATAATCAAATTAACCAAAAATAATTTATAAAAAACATAAAATAAATTTATTTTTTTATTTTGTGTAATTTGAAAATGATTAATTTTATAAATTAACCAAAAATTATCAAATTATTTTATATATTTAACATTAAAAAAAATTATCAAATTATTTATATATTTAACATTACCCAAAAATGAAATATATAATTTATATAATATTTTATAAATTTAATTTGATAACTTTTTGGTTAATTTATAAAATTTATCATTTTCAAATATCCCAAAGAATAAAATATAAATTTTATTTTATATTATTCAAATTTTATTTTATGGTTAATTTGAAAATAATAAATAATAGAAATTAGGAAAATAATTTGAATTTGATTTTTTAGTAATTTTTAGGCTGACGAGGCAATGACATGGCGTGTTGACTAACGGTCAACGGTGTTGACCATCCAAATTGACGGTCAAACCATGTGTCAGGCCAATTAAGTCTATATGCTGCATAGTTGAGGCTAGGATGTTAATTTCTGAAACCTCGGGCCAAAGTTGATAATATGGTCATAGTTCGGGCCAAAATAAGGTATTAACCCTTTTCTTTTTCACCCAGGTTAGAATTTTCAACAATTATACATGGAATTTTTATACATATCAAATAAATAGTTTCCTATTTTTTATAAAAACATAAATAATTATCATCTTAAATACATCACCATAAAAGGAGTTAAGCCTCAACTATGCAAATTACAGTTGGATACCTAAAACTTAATAGATCTTTAGATTTATAACCTAAATTTATTTTTTGGCATATAAGTCCTTAAAATATTTATGGAACATTATATTTTAGTACCTAAAAATTTTGTGCATTGCATTTTAGTACCTAAAATTTTGAAGGTCTACAAATAGGTCTAATTTTGTATGTGTACTTAAAACACCCTCGAATAAATGGATATCAATACCCAACTCATACACATTTAAATTATGAAAGTAAATATCCATACCCTACCCAAACCCATCTACAAACTTCCAAACCCATATATATGTTACCCATACCTATCCATAATCAATGGGTCTACTAGGATTTAGGTAAATATCATTTATTAGCCATAATTTTCAAGATTATTTAAATTGGATGTTGAACATCATATATCTCTTCTCAGTCAGTATTACTAACAAAAGTGCTAATAAAAATTAGATTTAGGCCAATAGTACTAACAAAATACCATAACGAGCCACATAATACATGCCTATAGGCCATCTCCGCCAGCGACAAGGCGCGTCATTGTCACCTAGATAGTATATATAAATGGTAAGTTTGGTTTAAAAGGTTCAGTACTATACTACAATGGGTGATGATAGCATATCAACACCCCTGATGTTGTTATTATAACAACAGAATTCATTAAGGGTAAATAAGTAAATTAACAAAAAAAATATCAAATTAAAATTAAATAAATAATCCTCAAACTCTAATCCGCTCCTTGTATCCAATTTCTTCCGTTCCTCCCCATCTCCCGCTGTTCCTTCTTTCTTCCACCGCCGGCATCGCCATTGATGCCACACAACCATCTCCCTCTCAGTTAATACATACAGACATACAAATTGAATAAAAAAGCATCAAAACGGAGAAGCCGGGGGGGGGGGGGGTGGGTGGGCAGGCAACCAACCATGACAAAGGAAAACCAGAGCTTTTGGCGACGACGAAGAGGAAAACGAAGGATTGGGCAACCATATGTTGGAAGAAGTCCTGGTTGGACAAGGATTCCGCTCTGCTCTCGGATTCAAGGAGTCAGGCGCCAAATTTGAAGGTTGTTTACTGCTGGAGGATACAGCGCCGTTTGGTCTAAGTTAAATAAGCAATACTGCGTTGTGCACTATTGCAGGGTCAGTCTTTGTTTTTTGTTTTGTTGCATTTTGGTCCTCGATCAATGAGTCAAAGCTGTTGAGCTTTTCCAGCTCAAGTAGTTTGAGTAGTTAGTAGTGTTAGCGAGTTTCCTGGTTATTGGAACGTTGGAGA